GGGGGGGGGCATGAGACAAGCACACGTGAGCGAATAGGTCAGGGCATACGTTTGTATATATTCATTCATTAAAGGTGGTAAATTGTGATCGTTTGACTTTTCGAGTACCGGCGTCTGCAGTAACGATGTAAAGCGCTTCGGTGACGCACGCAGGAGACCCGAGTTCGTTTCCCGGGTGGAAATGATTTATGTCGAGTATCTTGGTCTTTCTACTAGAATGTTGTTCCCCTCTCAGCACGGGTCGGTCCAGACGGGCAGGGTCGGAAGCCAGCCTCTTATATTATCTAAACTGTGTCGACGGGAGCATAAAAAACACATTTCTTTGGCGGTACACGCACGCTGGTTGTAAAACCGTGGACAACAACGAATGCGTCGGAACCTCAGTCTGCAGCGGTCTTCATTACTTCAAGAACGGACTTTTGGTTTCTGTGGGCTACCCACTTTACTTTTAGACCCGCATACAAAGATCTGAAAAGATTTGACAGGACGATTTTGTCTTATCCCATTTAAAGTGCAGACGTACGAAAGTAAATGAGCTATAAATAACTGCAAGCAAAGTGAACTGGATGTTACCAAAAAACGAACGGAAACTACTGTACCTGCACAGAAACTTCAACAGAGGCAAAACGTAGAATACACACGTTTACTTGCATTAATCGTTATTATACACGTAACTATGATATGTAAAGTTACAAATGCAATATATCTACATGTGTCTACTTATTATGTAGGCCCTATATAAATACCAACTTATATATATGCAAAATCAGAGTTAACAGTCCGACTTGAAATATATACAAATTAGGTTAAGATTCTATTTTGCCTTCAACTTGAGCCGACTTACACTAAAGCAGGATTCCTGATAACTATGCCTAGTGGAAAACATGTTTCCTCATATCTAATTACTAGAATTCCAGTATACGAAGTGAAGTAGGGAACAAAAAGAGTATCTAAAATATTTATTCATATTAGCACGAAAGCCTTCTGTAAGATAGTTCCCCTATTTAATATTCTAAACAACATGACATCTAAGTAGCCTAACTTTATTTTTAATTGTCTAAATTACATATTCACTTCCCAATACCATAATCTCAACAGTGTAAAATATATTTCATTTTAAAAATTATATTATTATTATTATTATTATTATTATTATTATTATTATTATTATTACTATCTAACAATGTATTCGTAATATAATTGGTGCCATTCCGCTTAACGGTCTGCCAGACTGTGTTGTGTCAATCGGCAAGGCTTGGGGTTAGGGCTAGGGTGTGGGTTAAGGTTCAGATTAAAGTTAGAGGTGGAGTGAGTGTTAGGTTTAGAATCATGGATGTTGATGGTAGCAGAGTAGTAGACCGTCATGTGGAGCAATTATCAAACTGGCACGGTGCTAGAGCTCAAAGTAGAACAGTAACATTGCCGTAAGACAGTCGAGTGGACTGGCACCATAATATAATCTTAATCATCTGGATGATCTTTTCGCGTCAACGAGACTTCAGACCACCGTAATCTTAAAATGTGAAAAGGCCTGCCAATATTCTAATTCTTGTGACCGTTGTTTATCTAACTTGTCGGTGTTACTAAAGCATCAAATTGTGTACTATTAAAGAAAATTAAAAACCACAAAAGTCTAAACGTCAAAATGATCACTTTTCCTTTTCAGAAAGGAATTTTTATCCCCAAATCATGCCAGTTTTTTTTTCTCCACATATTAATAAGTCTTCTCGATTGTCCGTTTCCTTCTCCATATCATGTCGCAGACCTTCTTTCTCTCGATTCCAGATTTTCTCTTGGCTCTCGTGTTTCTATCAAAGAAACGATAGCGCTGTGTGTTCCTGGAGCAAACTTCAGGGTTTCTGAACAGAAACTACACACCAGAGAGCCAGAGAATGTATGTAGGCTACACTACAAACCAAAAAAAAACGTCACTCTCCGATCTTATCTCACAATCTACGCACAGTAAATAATTAATAGACGTCGCCATTGGCGCTGATTAAAAAGGTTTTATATCTTTTCTGATCAAAAAGAGATTCTTTTGTAACAAACGTTTTAAATATACACTGTATTAAATGAGTCTGTACCTGAAATTGGCATTCTACACTAAACAGGTTTTAGAACCAATCTAAGAAGCGACGAACCTCATTTCCCCTTGACACCTATCATACTATACAGGAATATATTTTAGATTTTTAACCAACCCAATATACTGTAATAGTAACCATCGAAAGAATAAATGTTAAGAAAAACAACAAAATAAAGTCCCGACACTGCTTCTGTAATATTATACAGGAAACTTTATCCTAACACTTTACGGACTCAGCTTCTCGGTATGCGGTAATAATAACCATCGACAGAGGAAAGAGTAGATTCTATGTCAAAACTAAAATCATGAAAACTACAACAACAACAACAACAACAGCAGCAGCAGCAGCAGCAGCAGCAGCAGCAGCAGCAGCAGCAGCAGCAGCAGCAGCAGCAGCAGCAACAACAAAAGCCAAGTAAAATGCAAGTGCAAAAAGGAAAGCCAGTTTTGATTAACCAATATCCAGCATGCAGATTAGAGTCGTACCAAGGCCATGCATGTCATGAAAACGAACGCAGCTGTGCGCATGCAGAAATTGCCATGGTGCATCAATAAGATCTTGAATGATCAACTAACCCAATCCCTCTGCAAAACCAGCTTACACTTAAGTATTGTGCCGTACATTATTAAAACATAACAAAAAAAACGAAGAGATGTAGACAAACACTACCATGATACGTATGGGCGTTGGCAACTGTTGTTGTTGTTGTTGTTGTTGTTGTTGTTGTTGTTGTTGTTGTTGTTGTTGTTGTTGTTGTTGTTGTTGATGATGTTTTTGTTGTTGTTGTTGTTGTTGCGTAAATTTCCACTGACTTTCTCCTCACCCGCACATACCCAGGACCGCCCGGAAGACTGAAGGCCTTACAAAATATTGTGTGTGGGGGGGGGGGGTATACGTTGTCTAGACCTAGACATTACGGTGTTCGCCTCTCGTTCAATTAGGTACCAAGTTCGAAACCTGACACCACAGAAAATTTTCATTCTCAAAAATCGTTTCCATTCACCTCCTTTCCTGCTCTCTAACCGCCATTTTCGAAACCTGACACCACAGAAAATTTCCATTCTCTAAAATCGTTTCCTTTCACCTCCTTTCCTGCTCTCTAACCGCCATGTTCTGTCGTCTGCTTTCGTCTCCACTTTTTACACAAATAATCAAAGAGAATGTCATGAGAGGGCTGCGAGTTTGAAACCCCAGGTATAAGTTGTAAAATTCATTTGACCTGTTTCCCTTGCCCGTTCTCATGTCTACCGCTGCCTAAACACCACCTCTTTAATAGCTAAACCAACCATCGTTACTGGGCCCTTTTTGTGTTGTCGATGTTGTTGAAGACCGCAACACGTATTCACGCCGTGCCGCAAGACTGCATGAGCCTTGACCTCATTTGTTTGTTTGTTTGTTTGTTTGTTCGTTTGTTTGAGTAAAGAGTTCTCAGGCACTTCCAAACCAATTAGGTCATATAAGTGCCTAAGATTGTAGGCGTTTCAAGAGAGTAAAACACACATTTTTTAAAAAGGAGAGCCAGGGATCGGACGACCGACGTTTGATAACATGAAAGAAGGAACCGTGACCTTTTCCGTGGAACGTTATGGTCTAGATCTATTTTTCAATATGATCCGTGCGTTCTGCTCCAATTCCAAGCGCGTACATAATATCAAAATAGTAGAGAATCTTTGAGAACATCGCGCACGCTTCGTCTTCCTGAACGTTCCCCTAGACCTCGGCATACAACCACGAGAGGTTTATTGTAATGATTGTCCCTTTCCTCACGGGGAAAGAAAAGAGTTAACACACTCTTGTCACCAAAAGCGTCTAGAAAAGTATTACCGGTCTCCCTTATTGGTCCTCCCTATGGGTTTCTTTTTTTTTTCTTTTTACAAACTTTCTCCACCCCCACCCCTTCCTCTTTCCCGTACTCATTTTACAATCATTAAAGTCTCTCCCACCCTTTTCTTTTCGCCATATTAGTGTTGTGGCGGTTACCGTGGCCTGTTTGTGTTTCTTTTTTCAAAGTTCTATTATAAGCACAGGGAGTCTTGGCGCCATAACTAGACAGACAAAATAGAGCGTTTTAAATGTATAAGTGTGTGTGTGTGTGTGTGTGCGTGCGCGTGAGTGTGGGCGTCCTTGCGTACGTGAGTGTGTGTGTGTGTTTGCGTGTGCGAGCGTGCGTGTGTGCGCATGTGTGTGTTTGTGTGTGCGTGTGCGCGCGCGCGCGCGCGTGTGTGTGTGTATGTGCGTGTGTGCGTGTGGCGCGCCAGCCTAGCCTGAACTAAAGTCACACTAAGCAAACTTAGGAAATTATACAATTAAATGGTCTTCCGCGGGGGAATTACTCCTGATGTATAGTATAACCACAAGGAAATGACATGCCATTATTGTGCTGCTGTATAACCACAGGGTAAAGAGGTGTCATTATTTTGCTTACTCGTCGACAGTAGGCGATTATTCAATAACCACAATTGCACATGCAGTAGGCCCATCTCCATGATATCACGACCGCAGAACAACAAGGTTCTATCTCCTTTCTATCATTTAAGAGATTCAAAGTTTCCACACACTATTATATATCCCTTTTTTTTAAGTACAAAATAACATGTTTTCTAGTTTTAGTAATCGTTTAACGGCATAATATGTGCCGAAGATTAGAGGTTTACAAGAGAGCCACAAACATCAAAAAAGGAAGAGAGATCAGGACGATAGGTGTCTGAAAGGAGAGAAGAAGCTAACCACACCAGAGCACCCACCAACCTATAGCCTACCTCATTTATTATTACTTAAGAGATATTTAGAGTTCTCATGCACTATAATATATTATCTGCCTCATGAAGTACAAAATCGGTACGGTTTTATCTAGGAAAAAACAGAATAGGGGGTTTAACCTTTATATATAATGATGCAGAGTGAGTGCAAGGGGGTGCCCCAGACACTGTAATTATTCCAAACACTAAAAACCGAGTGAGAACCTTGTTGCACTGGGGTACTAACGACACACACATATATATATATATATATATATATATATATATAATAAAACAAAAAAAGTGCACGAACATAAAGCAACGACGAATAAAACACAACAATGATCCACAGATTAGTACGATTATTCACACGCATTATTAACATTCATGTGTTCTGTGAGAGTGTACTGGTTAATGCTAACACAGCGTTTGAATTTAGGAATTACGGGCAAGGGGGGGAAAGAGGGGGGGGGCAGCAGTGAAATGTCAATTATAAAATGAAGTAAAATAACCGAGTAGGCCAGTCCAATGTGTCTTTGTTATCATTCTGTGAATGAGGGGCTGGAAAGAAAAAAGGTCAAATTTAAAGGAATAATAATAGGATGTGTCTAGCCGTATTACTGATTTGTAGAAAGAAATATCATTCATGTTCTATTTTATTAGCCCATCATCATCCTACAACCAGCCTCATTTGATTTAGTTCCCGTAAGAGTTTTACAGAATATGCAATAAATATTATACATGTGCCGAAGATTAGAGAAGTTACTAGAGAGTAGCCAACAGAGAAATGAAGGAGAAGAGATAAGGACGACAGAGGATTTTTTTATACATGTATATGATAAGAAAGAAGGAGCTGACCACACAAATGCACCGGCCAACCACCGAGCTGCAACATTTTCAGCATGACATTGATAGGCTTATCCATTGCACCGTTTGACGAATGCCAAAATGACTGCATTGCAGAAAATCTGATGATAACCAGGGATAAAGCTACACGTGCTAAAACTACAATATGGAAACTAAAAAGAGTGTTCAAAATTCTCGCAAATCTTTGGGAAATCTACAAAAATGGCAGGAAGTTATCCCCCCCCCCCTCCCTCCCCCTCCCCAAAAAAGTAAGTTCCTAAAGTCATGACGTTATACTTCTACTAAAGCAGAGTCAAGCGATGTCATTAAAAATCTCAACACTTCATCTCGAGACATGAGAAGTAAAGGAGGAAGGGGTGGGAGGGGGGGGCAGAGAAAAAATCGTCAGCTGAGGCCAAGAGGTGACTATATTATTAGTATGTCCACATTCCTTGAATTCCTTGACTTGAGAAGAAAAAAAGTAGGGAAAGGTATAGATAACACTTGTATATAAGACGCTAGACACATCGAGAACTGTGACTGTGGCAAAACTACAGGGCTGATTGGTTTGATATTTACCGAAATAATGCAATACTATTGTCACAAATCTCCCATTATGCCACTTTTGGCACTTTTGGACAAAAGGGACATGGTCCCCTCTGACTGTCAGGCCACGAAACATGACTGGTCAAGACTCTGAATCCCTCAAAATATGAACAAACCGCCTCAAGTTCCATGCAGAATTATATTCATCATAGAATTTAAAAACTCTCCCCCATGCAAGTTCCAATCATTGTCAGAAACTAGAAAAGAGATTCATGCATTGCACAAACAGTAACAGGCCGCATCATTTCCCCCCACTTGCACTAACCAAAGCATCAAAGAAAGGGCTGGCTCATGTCGAATCTGTTTGAACAAACATTGATCATCACAAAAGGTAGACTTAAGAGATAAGAGAAATACATGTATTTATATCAATGGTGGCTATAATGATGTACTGTAGTGAATATAGGGCATCAGAGATATTAACAGTGTGTGACTATGAAATAGTTGAAGGTAGTGTAGCAGATATATATTTATAGCAAGAAACTATGAAATAATTGAATACATGTGTATACAGTGCATAAGATATAGATCTATTTATAGCAAATGACAATGAAATATTTGAATATAATGTAGCAGATACATATTTAATTATAACAAGAGTCTATGAAATAGTTGAATATAGTGCATTAGATGTATTTGTAACAAGTGACTATGAAATAGCTGAATATAATGCAGCAGAGATATTTATGGCAAGAGGCTATGAAATAGATAAATATAGTGCAGCAGAGATATTAACAGTAGGTGGAAGAAAGTCAAAACACAAGACGCAGTAAAAGAAAAACACAATATTTCGTCATCAATAAAATAACAACATAAGGAAAGATTCTCGGCAACAGGAAAAGCAACAAGTAGACCATTCATTGACAACATGTATTCTGGTCAAGATTACAGAGCAGGCACAATAAATATAATACATATTATGCACAGAAAGGTGGGTTTGAGTTTGAGAAACACATCGAAACAATAGCGGTCATTTAGTGCAGGGGAAAAGGTAAGGTGTATACAGACAGACAGAAACAAAAGTAAGAAAGAAAAGAAGAAAAGGCACAAAAAAATGTCTTTAATACGCTTTAATTCAAGATTCCACGGCAAGCATTGTCAATACAGTATCGCATAGAAAGATGTCTCTGATATAAAAGAATAATAAAGCATTGCATAGAAAGATGTCTCTGATATAGGACTAAAGAATATTGTATAGCATGGAAAAGGGTTTCTCGTATACAAAGGATATTGCATTGCAAAGAAGGGTGTCATATATAGAAGAATATTGCATTCCATAGAACGGTGCATTTGATCTAAAAGAATATAGCACTGCATAGAAAGGCGTATTCGATGTAAAAGAACGCATTGCATCGAAATGGGTCTCCGGCATTGAACAGAAAACAAGAAAACAAACAACCTCCGCCAGGCTACTCACCATCCACCAAAAGAAAAGAATCCAGCAAACATGGCCAACGCAAGCCTGCCAACATCTGTGGTACTTCCTTCCGTGAACACCTCGAGGTGTTCTTGGGCACTCTCTGTTTGGAGGAGAAATTATACACGTGGGCGGTTGGCGAATGCTAGGCGTGGTTTGCTCCTTCTTTTCTATCAAACATCTATCATCCTTCTCTCTCCTTCATCGTTTCTTTGTATGTAACTCCCTCTGGTAAAACATCTAATCTTCGGTGCTTGTGCGACCTATTTGTGTTGCAAGTGTCGTAAAACTCATGCTATAACTAAAAACTATAAGGATGAATACACAAATAATAGGAAAAGTCGTTTCGCGGAGAGCAACAAAAGAGGGGGTTGGAACACTATCAATGACCAAACTCAGATAAAACGTATGAATAACTCCTCTTATTCTTACTGCGTAACAATTAACTTTTCTTCATCTCAACATTATCATCATTTTTACAACCATCCTCACAATCTTGGTCATTATCATCACCAGCATCATGATCATCATCATCATCATCACTGTTCTTTCGTCGAAAAAAACATAGTGGAGATTTGAACACAGTTCAGAGAATATTATAGTTGGGTTTTGTTTAAGTTTCTTCATCATCATCGTCATCATCATCATCATCATCATCATCATCATCATCAACAACACTAAACCCACCACCACCACCATCATCATCATCATCATCTTTCATCATCATCATCATCATCATCATCATCATCATCATCATCATCATCATCAAAATCACCACCACCATCACCATCATCATCATCATCACCACCACCACC